GGGGCGACCCATCCCCCGCGAATCAATCAATCAATCAATCAATCAATCAATCAATCAATCAATCAACCAACCAATCAAAAAAAAAAAGGAAAATCGAATCAATCAATCAGTCAATCAATCAATCAATCAATCAATCAATCAAACAATCAATCAATCAAAGGGGTGCGGGGCGACCCCGCCCCAACGAATCAATCAATCAATCAACAAAAAAAAAAAAAAAAAAAAAAAACAACGCATTTTCTTTCCCAATTTTTTTCGATTTCGCCCTTACCCCCCCAACCAAAAATTAGATTTTTTTCGTTTTTTTTTTGCATGATCGGGTGGGGCTGGGGTTGCGCCGCCATGTGGCGCTTCCCGTTTCCCAAGCCCCCTTCCCCAGCGGCCGCCACGCGTCCGCGGGGTCGCGGACTCGGCCGCGGCCGCGGACTTGGCCGTGCCTGTCCGCCGCCGAGGGGGATTCATAGGTGCACGCTTTGTTCCATGCCGCTATGCCATCAGTGCACGTGAGGTCGCTGACATCGTGTTTGACCGAGTCGTGCGTGACCACGGCTTACCTTCAGCATCATATCCAACTGTGACCCGTGCTTTACCAGCCGATTCTGGCGACGGCTCCACGAGGTAACGACACTCAGCTCCGCTTCTCCTCGTCTTACCATCCTCAGACTGATGGTCAGATCGAGATCACGAACAGAACTCTCGAAGATATTCTCCGAAAGATTGTTCGTGACGACCAGCAGTGGGACCTTCATCTTGCCCACGCGGAGATAGCCTACAACCACGCCGTCTCGCCAGTCACGGGGATGTCGCCTTACTATTGCGACCTCGGCTATCACCCTCGTGTTCCTGCGAACTTCCTTCAACCGTCACAAATGCACCCCGACACGAACTGTCCCGCACTGGATGATTCGGTTGCACACATGACGTCGATCATGAAGACCGCACATGAGCACATAGCCGCTTCCCAGACTCGCATGGCAGCACGTGCGAACCGATCGAGGATGGACCACCCATTCAAAGTCGGTGATGATGTGCTTATCGATGCCCGTCACTTACAGCTCGAAGCGGATACGCTTCGCAAGTTTCGGCGTCGCTTCTTTGGTCCATGCCGCATCCTCCAGGCCGTCGGTTCTAATACGGCTTCTAGCCCGGTCAGCTTCCGTGTGAAGCTGCCCGACGACCTACGCCAGACTCGTATGCACGATGTCTACCACGTCTCGTTATTGCATTTTTACCGCAAACAGTCTGAGCGTTTCGCCGGACGACCATACGAGCGCCCTCCACCCATCATGGTGGACGGTCACGAGGAGTTCCTCGTTTCAGACATCATTGGTCGCCGAGTCACCGACGACAACCGTCCCCACGTCGAGTATCTTGTATGTTGGAAGGGTTACCCTGATGAGGAGGCTACCTGGAAGCCTCTCGAGCACTTGCAGCACGCTCGCATGTTGGTGCGTGCCTATGACTGTGCTCGTCGGGCTGGGTTCAATGCTCCTCCTGTGCCCACTAACCCTCCTCCTTCTTCTCCGGTTGAGGAGACGGCTGAAGTCGAGCCTGCTCCATCTGAGGCAGACCTTCAGCAGCAGCCGGATGCTTCTGAGCGTCCACAGCGCACTCGTGGTCGTCCTGCTCGATACGACGATTGACTCTGACTTATCTTTCCACGTCTTTGACTTCTCAGTACTCCATCCACATCAGTTTTGCTACTTCAGCTCGTCGACGCTGCGGCTCTTCCTCGACGACATTCCGGACTTCTCATCGTGGACGTCATAGGCAGCTTCATGGACTTCGTCACGATCAGCTCTTCCTACTTCAGACGTCGCCACTCGCTGACCACTTTACCCTGTACAGTACCCTGCTTGTGTCGCATGATGGTCTCCCTTTAGCCGGGTTCCTCTGAGTTGGGCTCTCCCTTGGTATACGCATAGGCATCGGGATGGTCTCCCTTTAGCCGGGTTCCTCTGAGTTGGGCTCTCCCTTGGTATACGCATAGGCATCGGGACCGTAGCGTTGCCCTGGCTTCCCACCTTACGGATCTAGCTCTGACTTCCTTCACTTTATGAGTCATTTGCATGATTCCCTTACCCATCATCTTTCTACCCTTCGTCGGCCCTCACGTCCTAGTTAGGCAGCCCCGCATACTTCATCTAGGTGCGCCCAGTATATTAGGCTCCCTTGTTCCCTTGCATGGTCGACCCTCCATAGCGGTCACCCCTTAGTCGAGCATTACTCGCCCTGATGGTCTATCTGTTAGGGTCATTGGTTCTGTTCGCTCCCAGTTCCCTACCCTCATTGAGCCTGATGACATGTGTTTTCCCCTGTCACTATGTGTGTATGCCCTTAGGAGTTTTCGACCCCTAGGCTGCATTCGCCACCCTCAGAGACCACCCCACCCTTTGGTTTGCGACACACTTCTCATGTGACA